AAGGGAAAAAGCGAGAGCGATTAATAATATTAAAGTTCAATAATGTTATTGATCAATAACTAATTTAGCATCAAATCTTTTATAAAACATATCATTAACATCTGCTTTCATCAAGTTAATGAATAAAAAGCTATACGGTTCTTCTGTTGCTAAATTATACACTTCTAATAATAATTTCTTTGCTTCTTGTAAATTTTTCAGTATCTGCTACAGAAGATTTTTTAATTAAAACGGCGCTTAATTCTTCGACCATTGTTTCTATTTCTTTGTAATTCCTTAATCTAAAGAAGAACAACTGACGACTATTGACGCGAATAATTGGAGACAATGCGTTAAATTTTTGTGTTGCTGTTATAATGCATATCGCTTTATGTCTACCTCTTACATAAAGTTGATTTAGTAAAGGCGAATTTCTCGAAAATTCCTTCGAGTCGGCGAAGTCATCCACAATTATTAATATTGAATGCAATTGCTTGTGTCCGTTCTTCTTTTGATACTCAGTTATTTTATGTTGTCTATTTATAACTTCTTCTAATTCCGACGGGATGTATTCATCGAACATACATTTTTCTTTTTCTAAATCCACCTTTAATTCGTTTTGTATATACCTTTTAACAGGAGTCCAGTTAGGGTCAATTGAAACAGAGGGCGACCATACGTATATTCTTGCGAAGACGTCCTTATAAATGTCTAATATCATTGACTGTAATAATATACCTTTACCGCTTCCAGAAGGACCAGTTATTATTTGACTAAAAGGTAATCTTGGAGCTACTTCATATTTTGATTGTTTGAACTCGTATTCTTTGACATTGACAGGTTTAACTATTGGAATGTTTGACATTCTTAATAATACATAGAATATTTTATAAATTATTATATATGCGTGATTACGAAAGCTATATAGAGACTATAAATGAAATAGAAAAACTGGATGAAATAATAAAAATTCCAAGATACAGAATGTGTTGTCGTAGTTTGTTAGAATTCTTGAAAGCCGTTTGTTATTATCTTAAGAATTTGAAAAAATCTAAATAATATTAATGGAAGAGAACAGCGGAGGGTTTCACGTTGATAAAAGTAGTGTTGATTGTAACTTTTGTAAGTGCGGTAAAAAGGCATTATATAAACAAACTAAAACAACAACCGACAAAGAAGGTAATGTTATTGTCAATCAGGTAGAAAACAGGAGCAGTTGGAAAGTTGGCAGAGGAACAACGCCCGACGGAAACGCCATTTTCAAAACAAACATGAAAGATAATGAAGATGTTGGTACAGTAGATACAGGGTTCGGGTCAAGAAAACCAACACCCGAAGAAAGAATACAAATATTAGAAAAAGAAGTAGAGGAACTAAAGAAGAACTTGAAATTAAATAGTATGGATTAATATTAAAGGAATGTTTTTATTATATATCTACAGGGCATAATCGCCAGCTTTTGGAAGAAGGAGAAGAAAACCCCGATGCAGTAGCCCCACTGTTTCACGTTGGACGGACACATGAAAGGGGAAAGTAGTGTGACGCTCATCAGAGCCTCGTGAGCTTTACAGTGCTCGCGTCACGTTCAATAGCATCTCATAAGCAGTTGCTTAATTCGTTTGTTCCCCTTTTGTATCCCTATGGATTTTAATAATAATAAATGTTATTATTATTAATATGAATAATATAGTAGAATTTAAATTAACAAACGAACCAAATGAAGGTTATAATCAAGACATCGGGTTTTGTAAATTCTGTCGTTGTTATGTTCCTAAATCTTGTTTTATTGGTTGTTACGGCAAAATATGTAAAACGTGCGTTAGATGTCGGGAAAAACATTTAACGGGTAATATATATGGGAAAACTTCTAAACATTTACCAGAACAAAATGAGTATTCTAAAAGTAGCTGAAAAATGCGATTATTATGTTACAGGGATTGATTTAGATTGTTGGACGAGTTTAGGATGGGAACAAAGATTATTAAAATATGAACCCGAAACATTTAAATTTATTTGGGCACAGGTTGATTTAAGAAAACCAGAGAATGAAACGCAGATTAAGAAAATAATTGAACACTTGAAACCGAAGGGGTGGTGTATTCAACACGTAAAAGAACCTTTGAGTGATGCCGATATTGAGGAAATTATACGTATTTAAAGGGTAGAATACGTAATAACGTATATGACCGAGGGTAAGGTGAGCACGGACATGATTTATAACACTATTGTAGAAAACCATAATATGACTCAATTAAAAATTAACGAGATTTTAGGAATTGTTCAACAATTGGTTAAGGATAAGGATAAGAAACCAATCACTTATGAAAAGAGCACAACAACACCAGTTGATAAAGGCGATAAAAGCGATTGGAGTAAGAAAAGAAAAACTTACATGGAAAGACTGAATAAGGGCGAAATTAAAGTCCCAAAAGAAGACACATTAAAATATTATGATATTGAATTTAACAAAGAACAAGAGAAATATCAATTTAAAGCAATTGCTAAAAGCGAGGAATGAGATGTGATTTAATATTATTTGATAATATTAAAACTCATCAAGGATAAATATGATATGAAAAGTTATTTAATTTATAAATGGCGATTGTTTCTTCGAGTTCGCCAAGGGCGGTTTTAAATACAAACCAATTATCTTTATCTTCGTTTTCGATAGGTATATATGTCCTTAAATACCATTCGGTGTAATGCGAAACTCCGCTTAATATATCTTTTATTACCTTACCTCGTATATCTTTACAAATTTCATCATTTACGACATATTTAAATATTATTTTACACGAGTGGTCTCTATACAGTTCAGAGTTATCAACTGTAAATATACATTCACCTAATGAAAATTTAGGATGCACGTGTATAGGTTTAGGATTTTTTACTTTAGCAGAAGGATTTATTAAAGGCTGTGTGTTTGTTTGTTGGGTTGATGTTGAACTTCCCATGATTAACGGTGTAACATAACATACCTTTAAACGTGTATTTATCATGGTTTGGATCACGGCGTATATTTATCATGGTTTAGATGGCGAAAGAACTTGACACAAAATGGCTTAAAGGTATGAGACCATATTATATTAATGATGAATTACTCTGATTTAAAAACTTATACCAGAACTCAGGCTAAGTATATTAGAAAGATATTTGAACAAAGGACGAGCCAAGACGAATATAAAAGCAAAATAACAGAGCTTTGGGAATTAAGAAACACTTATGAAGACATGTTTGACGAAGAAGATTTAAATAATATTCGCGACGATATACAAAGCTTGGAAAACAACATATCGAACGCCGAAAACTTAATCAAAAAATATTCTTGTATGATTGAACACATTGAAATACTTTGTCATTGCTACGGTGGTTCAGGAGAAACCGAATATTTAAAACGAAAGCCAGAAGGAGCCAACACATGGGTAGATATGACACTGAAAGATTTTGAAAACCGATATGGTCGTAATCTTGAAAATATAGGCGAAACAGATGAGTCCGAAATGGAAAGCACCACAAGCACGAAAAGAAAACAGAAGAAGAAGGGAAGACAATAGGAAGATAACTTCATAAAATGTAGTTTAATATTATTATTATATAATATTAAATTTCATTAGAGACACCTTGCCCCACTATAAGGCATATTGTTATTCTTGGGTTTTACGGGTTAGGGGTTTTGGGTTGAGGAATAGCGGGGATTTATGGGGGAAGGTGTTTTTTCTTGGGTTTAGGCTTGGGGTTTTGGGAATATGGTTTTACGGGGTTTTGGGCTGACGGGTTGAATATTTTTTGGGGTTTAGGGGTTAAGGTTAAGCGTAATAAGGTTAAGCGTATTAAAGGAATTTGGTTTCGGGATTTTAGCGGGGGAGATTTGGGAAAATATTTTACCAATATTTTAGGATAAAATTTAGTAAAATATTTTTACGGGGATTTTGGGCGGAGAAATAACGGAGATTTATGCTTGAATTTATAACGGGGATTTTTGGAAATAATTTTGCGGAAATTTCGGGTTAAAATTTTGGAAAATATTTTTTTTTTAAATTTTGCGTTGATATTTGGCGGGCGGGCTGGCCGACGGGTTACATAAATTAATGGTGCAAGGTGTCTTGTAAGTCCCCCTCCCCCAACATGCAGGTTTTCTGGGATCTAGGTAGCACCAAAATCTTTCCTAGGAGCAAAGCCCGCCAACCCTAAACCCTAAACTCCATACACAAGACTCCAAACCCTAAACCCCCACACCCTAAACCCTGAAGCACTCAGCCCCTGATGCCGTTTGCACCGTTTTCCTCAATCAATCGGCCAGTCTCCTTGCAGTCGAGGTCAGGACCTCTCTCTACCTCTGAGCTACTTTTGAGGCCAATGGTGGGGTCTATACGAGCTCTAGGATAGAGGGCCTTCCTAGTTAGAACAGGGCTTCGTGGTAGATTGTAGTAGAACTAAAGAAACAACCATACGGAATGGCACTGGCATTTGTTCAGGCATCTATATTACCGAACCCATACATCCTGCTGAGCCCGACAGACATAAGGGCCGTTCGGGCTTTGTAGTTGGGACTTTAGCACCGTCTAGTACGCGGAGAGCCCAGCCCTTTCCACTACCGCCTCAACAAAAAGATACACCTGCACTCAGCTAAGGCCTCCATAATCTTACGTAAGTGCATTCCTTAGTTAACGGGGTACAGTCCTGGACAACTTGAGGTAGGTGCAGGATTTCGTCCATCAGCCCTAGCGGTTCTAGCAGAGTCCATAGGATACAGTAGTATGTGCTCCTCACGCAGGAATTTGAGCCCTTACCAACAGCAACCTCAGCAAGGGTTCTTCTTTTGACCGTGTATTCGCAGGGCTCTTCGGTAAGCGTGTGTATTTCATTGCCATTCAGGATCAGGGTTTCCGGTTTATAGCATGCATGCTTTGGGGGAACTCTTCCTTACGGATCAAGCGATCCTTCAAACAGGACCCCTTTTCTGGTTTTTGAGCGTTAAGCCATTTGTCCCGGAGGTTGGTTTGCTTCCAAATGACCGTACACTAGCCCACTTTGTATTCCTCACCAGCGTCCCAGAACGACCGGGCGGTAAGGAGGTTCTGCCAGTAGTCGGCGAACTCAACACAGCCAGGATCTTGTAGGTATGACCTGCAACAACTGGGGCCTGATGAGAAAAGCTGTTTCCTGTTGTCGGGTGGTGCAGGAGTTATGTTATCCTGGAAGGAACCCTACCTAGACCCCCAAAAGTAGGTAAAATCATGGCCCAAAACCTAAAAAAGGTTATTATTCTACATACTTTTGGGGTCCAGGTAAGCACTAAATCTTACGCACTAGCTATTCAGGCCCCTGTCTTACATACCTGACCTCCACCGTAATCCCGCAATCTCCCCCAGTACAGCCGAGCTTTCTTCCCCAAGCAATGAGGCAAGCAGTCTAATCCAGGGGCCGGAATGATTAGAATCGTTTTTTTTTTTTTTTTGGGGGGGGGGCGTATATTGTACTGTAATCATAGTAAGACCTCAAAACGGTATTTGTCATTTTTTAGGCCCCAATGGTACGCCATACGGTTGATGATATAAATCCTGCACTACCTTAAGGACCCTAAACTATGGGAATTATGGTATATTCGTGACTATGGGTAATGCAGGATTTATATCATCAACCGTATCTCCAGCCTGAAGCTCCAGACCCAAACCTTCCAGCCATCCCGTAACTAAGGAATGTACCTTGCACCTTAAATTCTAGGATACCCAGTAACCTGAGAATAAAAAGGCCTCTCGTTTTGGTATTGGGTAACTTTATAAAGGAAACTAGGACTACAAAAAGGTAATAAGGGTACTACTGGGCATCCTAGAATTATAGTAGGACCATTGATACATTCTTAAGGTGTATTTTCTTAATGAAGGGAAATTTGAAGGTCCGGTAGTCTCCAGCCGCACCCGAAGATTGAATCTGCTCAAACACTTCAAACTGTATGAAGGTGGGGTGAAACCTTCAATCTTATACAGGATTCCACACAGCAGAAGCCTCATATATGGGAGCTGCCGAAAATTGGGGACCGTAATTTGGTACCCTAAAGTGTAGGATCCTTATTATAAGGACCCCCAAATTAGGTACCCCTATTTTTCGGAAACTCCCATATACTGAGCCGATTCAACACAAACCCCCCAACCCTTTTCAAGTTTCGGACGACTTTGAAGGAAGCTTCGGGCTTCCTAGCTTAGGATTCATGTCCCGAGGATTCTTCGGTATCTGCGGCTCCTATACTATAGTATCCTTATATCTTCTTTATGGTAGCCCTTCTAGGGATCCCCTTTAAAGGGGATCCTATGCTTCGGTATCCAGGGGATTTCGGTGGCAGGGATGTCGGTGGGGATCCGGAGCTCTGGGGGTTAAGGGGAACTAAAGCTCAATTTCCCCTAAATCTTACCTATAGTCTCCATTGTAGTTCCTTTTTGGGGTTACCTTATAGGATCCTAATTATATATATATGGCTATATATATATATATATATGGCTAAACCAGAAAAGGAAATACAATGGAGACTATAGGTAGTTGCTGAGTTCATAAGCACCAAAAGGTGTACACTTTTAGTTTTACAGTGTGTGAGATTGTCCCAAAAAGTGTAAAGAGTGTATCCACTCAGCTACTGAGTGATATAGGGCCTCAGAACTGGAGAATTAAGATAATGTTGTTTTGGGGTGGGGGGGGGGGGGGGGGCGAAATGACCGCTGTTTTAATCTTCCCTTCTAGCGCCTCATCTTGTCGTAGGGCACCCCTTTGGCTGCAAGTCGCTCCACTTTTGCAGGGTCTGCCAGGTAGTCGTCCTTGGTTTGTCAGGGCTGCCCCCCCCCTGCACCCACCCCTGCCAATGTTCGGGTTCAGGCTTGTATACATACAAAAGCTGTCATACTTAGAATACGTTAGAAGAAGGTCTCAGGGCAAAAAATGAGAGTTTCAGATCCGACATGCAAGTATAGAGTATAGAGGGGCTCATATTTGTATCAGGTTTACCCACTTAGAGAGCAAACCCGTTGTTAGTGATTCAGACCTCTGCTCTTTTGTACGGCTAAAGGGTCCACACTAAGCCCCAAAACTCGAAACGCTGAATCCCAAGACCTTAACCCAAGAGCCCAATTCTGGGAACGGGCTTTCATACAATAACCCAGAACTCCAAAGCCTCACGAGAATGACGTCCTCTTTATTGTAGGGTCTTAACATAAAGGAGCGTTTCGAACACATAGCGGACTCACATAACACGTAGGTTCTGGTTGAGGCATACATATAGTCCCCATTGCAGTTCCTTTTTTGACTTGCCGTTAAGGGTCCTAAATAGTCCTAAATCTCAAATAGGTTCAACCAAGAAGAGGAACCACATTTTGAATATGGGTAAGCCTGTGTAGCCTGAGCCTCCCTAAACCCTAAACCCCTGTAAACCCTAAACCCTGAGCCATAACCCCCAAACCCTATACCCTAAGACAGGGTTCCAGATGCAGGACCCCGACACTCCCTTGGCCACGAGCCTTGCAAATGAAAATAGGGCTATAGCATAATATGTCCCCCAACCCCGATTCTAACTACACTATCTACTCAACTTACCTCCATAATCCATACGAATATATATATATATATATATATATATATATATGGACATGCACGCTCTTAGGAAGCCCCAGATTCCCACACATAGATCCCGAAGCCCTAAGCCCTCAACACCCAAGCCCTGAGCTTTTAAGCCCCAAACCATTTACCTGGACCCCAAAAGTATGTAGAATAATCGCCTTGTTACAGGGTTTTGGGCTATTATTTTGCCTACTTTTGGGGGTTACGTAACCCTTTAAGCACTCAAAAGCAGCGGCAGAGCGGACGGGCCAGGGGGGGCCGAAACGCGATAAGATCGAGAACTGCTAAGACTCACAACAATCCAGTGTAAGCCTGATACAGGCTCGAAAGATGTGAAATTGACAATTAAGCCTCTACTAAACCGTAGACCCTGCATCCCTGTAAACACTACCACTAACCAAGACCCAAACCTACAACTCCGAACCCTGGAACGCTGCATCCTTAAAACATTGCACTCTCACCCCCTAGCTGCGACTAACTAAACCCTCTTGCCCTGAACTTCCTGAACCGCAAACATGTTTGAAAGCCTTTTGCCTAGGCTGAAGCCCAAGTTTAGGGTTAAAGTAAAAGCCAGAAAGTTGGAATATGATTATCCTAAACCCTTTATGGTAAATTATAAGGTATCCTACCCTGAAACCATATTCCAACTTTCTGGAGTTCCCTGTAAGAGCTGCTGAAACCCCGAGTCCTGTAGATCACAGTTCCGGTGCTTGAATTTCCTCTGCCAGGGCACGAGATACTGCTGGCTGCGGACACCTTGAAGTACTTCAGTGCATTATAGTCAGGTTTTTAAGGGCTGCTTTCCATGATGGCGATACAGGTTAGTGCTATGAGAGAGTCAACTGTCCAGGATTTAGGCACCAAGATTGTGAAGGCAGCTTCAAAAGCCATTCAAGCAACAGAGCCTGTGGTTGGGCAATGTACTAGACCATCACTCACACTTGTTAAAAGAAAACACAGTTCGAAGTATCGTTTTACTTGCAGGTTTTCGGATTGGCTTTGGAGGGGATCGGGACACAACAGATCTGAGACGGTCTTATTGTATATGGCTTGGGGATTAGGGCGATTCGGACTCGGGCTTGGGTTTCGAGTTAATAGGATCACATTGATTCATGATGAGGATGATGGAGGGATCCAGCAGCTCAGCCGCGGACAGACTTTGCCCTTTCTGGCCTGGTGTTGGCGGGCAATGTATGCCGTTTCGCTTTCACTTCTGCTACACTTTGGGCCTAAGTGCAAATAACAAATGTTCAAAGGATTTAGGGATTAGATTGTGCAGGAGCTTTGCTGAAGGAAGCTTGCTGAACCCACGGCTCGAGCAAAAACCTGGCTGTGTTGAACTGTTTTGCTTTGGCCGTCGTCGCCTGAATTTGTCACATGTAAACTCACCATCCTACCTCCCAGAAAATCAAAACACGCTTACGGATCGGACTCTCATCCGGATGCAAAGAAACATATAGAAGTCCTGAAACTTTGAAATATAAACCCTGACAAAGCTTAATGATTGCCCGGACCTTACAAATCCTGCCTTTTCAAAGTTTCTTCTTATAAGCCCTTAGAGAGGTATATTCTTCGGGGTTCCGGCCCCTGAACCCTACTCTAAGGGTCCTAACACCTTTGAGAACCTGAAAACGTAGAACAGATGGTTTAGGGTTTAGGGCTTTAGGGTTTAGGGAACCCCAAGCCCTAAACCCTCAACCCTAAACCCTCAAACCCTAAACCCTAAACCCTAAAACCCTAAACCCCAAACCCTGTAGGAGTTCAGTCACCCCTAACCAGACCCAATGGCTCTCCCTAGGAGGTCTCAGACCCTCCGCCGGACCTTACCCTAGGAGTAAATGTGGCCAAATAGTGTATACTTTGGCGCTACAGTCGTCCCTATATAGGTACCTTGAAACCAAAGTATTTTCTGTTTCGGTACATGCATCCTTATACCCCAAACCTTCGAACCCCCGAAAGGCACCCTTTAACGGCACATGGACCTTCATTAAACCCTGAACCCTGAAGCCGCAAACCCCTAAACCCTAAAGCCCTAAACCCCAAACCCCTAAACCCGCAAATCCCTAAACCCCTAAATCCCCAAAGCCCAAACCCTAAACCCCTAAACCCTCCAGCTCCAAACCCCTACTTGGAGGGTCGGGTGACTTAGTAAGTACGTAGTAGAATACGTAGAGTTATAGGTACCCAAAACGGGATCCTAATTGGGGTTATGGTATTTTTAACGCTATAAAACAACTACTTAGTAAGTCCCCTAACCCTCCAAGTAACCCCTAAACCCTAAACCACTGTATATAGATCCCTTTTTCAGGAACCCCTTAAGGAACCCCCTTAACCCTATAGATCCCTTACAGATCCCTTTTTTAAGGAACCCCTTGATCGGAAGCCCCTTAACCCTGCGACTTGGAGCTCGTCCGGACCGGCCTTTTCCTCGCGAGTGAGAACGTAAACGATCCTGGTGGGAACAGGGCGCCTCTAAGCCCCCAAAGCGGGTGCTGTAGGGTTTAGGGTTTAGGGTTTTGGGTTTAGGGTTTTACCGTGCTTTCGGTAGGAGGTAAAGTAGATGCCAGAAAGTTGGAACATGACTTTAGGAGGATTAGTGCTAGGATCCCTTATACTTCACCTTAAGGGCATGAGGGCAATGATGTTCCAACTTTCTGGCTTCTACTGTAGGGGTTCCCTTAAGGGTTCCTGAAAGGACCCCTCTAACCCGTGAACCGTCCCTTCCCAAACTCCCCTTAAAGCCTTTAAGGAACCCCTTGAGGGTACGGTTTAGGGTTTAGGGTTTAGGGCTTAGGGTTTAGGGTTTAGGGACTTTCATAGTAGGCTTCCCTTGAAGGCTCCCTGTAACTTTATTTGAGGGTGCCTTCTCGGGGAGGGTGCCTTCTCGGGATTCTATAAGGGTCCATGTACCTTCAAAGGGCGCCTTTATAAGGAGTCGATAAGGGTACTTTCAGGGTACCATAAGGCTTTAAGGTTGAGGGTAGACGGGTCCTAGTACCCAACCAGTATATACTTCGGCAACCAAGTACCTATCTAGGGACTACTTCAAGGCCGGAGTACTGATGTATGTATATAAACTTACAGACATTTTACATGTATATAATATGTCTACCCTATGTAACAATGTAACAATCTATTATGTGTATTTGTGATTAATGCATATTCTGTTTATCTGTTTACCTAATTAGGTATTGCGAACCTATTTATTAGTGTTGCAATTACAAATATCACGAATATTATTGTTATCATCATTAGGGATCTAGAAAGTAGATCCACTAATTTGGGGCCCTATACTATTAAGGGTACTTTGTAGGAGCCCCATTAAGCGATCTGCTTTTTGGATCCTCCCGGTGGTCTGGGAATGGAGATATCCGAATTATAACCCTACTTATAACCTACTATTTGCTTAAGAACCCCAAAAAATAAAAAATATATTCCTTATGGGGGGTAATATAGGGATTATTATTTTTATTTTTTGGGGGTTTCTTAAGCAAATAGTAGTAACCGACTTACTAATGAACCCCGGGCCTCCAAGTAGGGTCTTCGTGGCTCTGGAGCTGGTTCGGGCTTTACGCCATTTGTTGGAGGGTTTAGGGTTAGGGACGAGGCGAAGAAAAAAACAACCAACACAGAATCCATGAACCCTAACCTCCTAACCCCTAAACTTTAACCCCTAGAAACTTTATTCAGGGTTGTAGCAGTTTCATGCTAGAGGAGTGTGTATATAACATGTGCGAGTATACGTGTGTATATTTATATAATGTGTATATAATATGTATACGTACATTTCTGACTTTGGCAGAAAATTCCCTCAGGGTCCATGTCCCCAAATAGTATACACTTTGGTCCCAATGTACCTATCTAGGGAGTACTTCAAGGCCAGTGTATATACCATATGAGCACATGGACCCTTAGGGATTACATAACACTCCTAAGACCAAACACTTTATCGAACCAACCCGAGAGACCAAAAGCCCAAACGCCCTGGACCGTCTGGAAGCCCTGTAACAGTGCTTAGTGCCAACATCTCGCAGAACTCTGCACAAAGGTGAGCAACCGAAACCCTGAACTTTTCAGAAACTCTTCACGAAGGCAGGTTGAACCCGTAAACTGGATGAAACCTTGCAAGGCCCCATAGACCCGATTCTGGTCAAGGAGCACCAAGGTCAGAACGGCGACGACTGCTGTTGCTGGCGACGGCTTTGTAATTGTCTCCTGAATTGGAGGATTAGGTCTTTGGATGTAAGGCTCACCTCAATCCGAAAGCAGAGAGCCTGAATCTTACTTCCCCAACAGGCCACAGAAATAGAAGATAAACTTTCCGATTCCTACTAAACTATGAACCCAAATTTTTAAAGATTGTTAAAAGGGTTGGGTATTGGGGAACTAAGGAATGTGAGGGTCTACCCTAAGGGTCCTAAAACAAAACATTGGGGAACCTCAAAACTGAGGGTTTCTGAGACGCCAAAGAGACCCAAGGACTCTCCCCAGGAGACTCCTACGGCTGATGATATAAATCCTGCATTACCTTAAGGACCCTAAACTATGGGAATTATGGTATATATTCCTTATTCTGGGCCATCCAGGATTTATATCATAAACACTAGGAGACTCCTAAGGAGATACCCGGACCCTTAGGGTAAATCCGAAAACCGAAGCCCTAGAGGCCGGAACTTCGCACCTCGAATCCGGAATCTTGACATAAAGGGGAAAAGGAGGGACCCTTAATGGGGGAGTAATGGGGACCCCTACCCTATAATGGGCTATATAATGGGTATATCATAGCTATATTAAGGGTATACACCAGGAGTCCTTATTCAGGGTCCCTCCTTTTACCCTTGGATTAACACCCTAGACCCGAAAGCCCGAAGCCTAAGACACAAACATAATAGGGGCCTCAGTACTTACAATAGGGTTCGGGGGTGCCATTATATTACGATTTTTAAGAAGGAGCCCCCAATAATTCTTGTTACGGCCCCTATAGTTCGGGCCCCAAAAAAGCACATAAGCAAAAATTAGGATAGGGATATCCCCTGTAACCCCCCCTCTAGAATGAAGCGCAATAAGGTAGGGATATCACCATAAAATGCTTATGCTTATGTGCTGTTTGGGTCCCTAAATAGTACTTCATTGCAGCTGCAAGTGGCTAGAAAGCCTCGGCGGCTCGTGCTGTCGCCATCAGTGGCTCGCCTGTTTAATGCCTTCCGGAGGCGTCCCCAAGGGCCCAAGCAAGAGCTCCTATAAGGTTCCTACAAGGGCACTATAGACGAAGCTACCATAAGGGCTCTGTAAATGCAAATAGCTAGGGTTTAGGGTTCAGGGTTTAACTAACAGACACAAACCTCAACCCCAACAAATGAAGCGCAAAACGTCCGAACAGAAACCCTGAACCCTGACTATGGGTTTAGGATCTACGGCTTTGGGAGTAGCAGCAATGTCATCGGGATGAGCAGGGGCCCGCAACTCGAGCAAAAGCCTGCAGAAAGCGAAGTTGGGCTTCTGGGATACCGTCTGTGCCGAGTCCGTGAAAGAAACAACTTTGCAACTTACTTAGCTTGTAGCTAGGGAAAGTCGCAGGCATTGAGCAGCCACAGTAGTGTAGGTTTTAGCAGCCCTCTGGGTCGTAATTATGTAATATATAGAGGCCTTAATGATAAGAATAGGGTTTTAAGTCTAGCCCCAAGATAGTGGTCAGGTTCTCATATTATCCATCCTTTCCTACTGACCTCCACACGGGCAGGTGGCGAACAGCCAGCCAGACGTCCTCATCGAGTTTCTTGACCGGGTCACTCTCGGGCTTCGGGCTTGGGTTCAGGGCTTAGGGGTTATAATGTCTTAGGGTTTGTATCATTTTTATATAATTCCGAAAAGTTTATATCATTCTTAGGGTTCAGAGGTTTAGGGTTTGGGGCTGAGAGTTTTTTTTTTCGAGGTTCCGGCTTGTGCGGTGGAGTGTTTCGGATTAAAAATACAATCTTGCAGTCAGGTCGATGTTTTTCCCGTCTACCCACAGGCTCCATAGTAGTTCCTTTTTGGGATTGCCTTATAGGATTCTATATAAAAAAACCCCAAAAAAGGAACTACTATAGACCGCAACTAGGGTCTTAGGTTGATGCTTGTACGTGCTAAGAGCCAGGAGGACAGGCGGAGGTGAGTAGTGCCAATGTGAATAACAATTCTGGATGCTTCTACCCAAAGGCCCCAAAGTGGTTCCGTTTTGGGTTCATGTTTAGAACTCTATAAGGTAGTCCCAAAAAGGAACTACTATGGCGCCTGTGGGTAGCTATATCCCTAAGTGGTTAGTCACCAAATGCTCCGCCATTTCCTCAAGTGGTCTTGTGGTCTCTGGTAGGATTAGAGGATGAATTGAACTGTAAGTCTTCACCCAGATTGGGTACTTTCTGCATGTAATACACGACCACTTGCGTTGCTTCCGGGGATGCCTCCTAAGACAGTAAGGCAACTCTTACAGTCATGTCATGGTGTTAATGTAATAGTTACACCCCAAAATAGTATAGGAAATTATTCAGGACCCTGTACTTGTGTTTGAGGGCATGGCGTTACGGCTCAATTGGAGTTCAGGGTTTACGGGCTTAGGATGCGCCATTGACGGTAGAATGGCAACGTGCTGGTCGAGAACGCAATGTTCGAAACCTCGCTTAGTATTCATATATATGTATATATATATATATATATATATATATATATACATATAGGTACATATACACACACAGACACATACATACATACATATATATATATATATACATAATATATAATGTATATATATACACATTATATTATATTATATTATATTATATTATATTATATTATATTATATTGTATTGTATTATATTATATTATATATGTTAATATACATACACACATCCACATCAACTAAACTCGCTCGATTGTCTATGGCCTTTGAACGGCTTGTGCAATAGTATGTGAGGGTAGGGCTTAAGGCTGTTTTATGCGATGAACGGCCATGGGGTCTGTCCCGGTTTGTTTGTGCGGGGTCTTGCAGGTCCTCCACATCTATAGACAAGCAGTGGGAGCTCCTTACTCATTTACGCACTGAGTTGCGACAGCTCTGACTCCATCACAATCGTGACTTGCTGCACGAAAAAGACCACCCAACTATCAATGAAGGCCTTCCCTTAAGAGGGAGAACCTGCTTGCAAGCACCTGTCCCAAAACAGAAACCCATGTTTCACGACATGAGCTTACGCAGGAGAGGACAATGAAAGAAGCTGTGGTGGAAAGACCTGTCCTGTCACAAAGCTTCCAGAGAATGCACCACAAGCGCCCAGCACCACCAGAATGGTGCACAGTGCCGGGGAACCGCGAGCCATGGCTGCGTGGCAGGTTCGATGAGATGGAACGCAAGAAATTACATTTGGGTGCGAAGTGTAGCAGAAAAATTGTGCCTCTCGTTTCGGGCGCTGATTCGTGCCCAGACCTCTGGATCTGAAAAAAATGATCATCTGAAACGCTCTTGGCACATCTATCCATGGCGGAGACTTGGATAGCTACACAGCAGCTGTTACTGAAAAATCGCGACGGTCTCACGGTCTCACGTATCTTCGTCTTCATCAACATTAGAAACATCATCACCATAATCGTGTCCATCTCCATCTCCGTCATCATGACACCTGTATACGGTCGGGTGTATTTGGGGGAGGAGGAGAGGTTTTTGTTGCCAGACATTCCGGAACCAAAGGAATCCAAACAACATCCCCCGACCGTAAAGCTGAAAGTGCGTCTTCCGGTGTCTGTAAACCCTCAGACCTGCAGCTGCAACAACTCAGCTAGTTGTCCTATCACCTGAGCTCATTGGCATTGTACATTCCCAGCTGGTCCCAAGCATGAAGTACCTATAGTCTCCATTGTCGTTTCATTTTTTGGTTAACCAATTGTATGGTTAGGATTCTATAATAGAGGTTTTGGTTAACCAAACGAAGGAACTACACCTCCCGAGCCCCCGTCCCTGGGCCCCTCCAAAGCAGACCCCGGGCAGCAGTGGCGGGACGAGCTTCGGCGACAGTTTTTGAAAAATAATTGAAAGATTTTTGAGAGCAGAATTGGAGATATTAGAGAGAGTTCGGGCCCATTGTTTGGGAACAGGGCTGCCCGAGGGCTTCCATCAGAATGCTACGGCGTTGTCCGTGATGCACCGGAACTAAATAGTCACGAATCGCTAATCATCAAGAAGGTTGAATCCAGCTGTCATCGTGATGCAGGCTTATCACTCTGTCCTGTCGAATCCCGTCACTATCTCAACGCCGATCAGGTCCTGATCTAGAAATTTTTGCAATCATTCAGCATGACCGGTCCCTCTCTAAATGCTTGCAAATCCTGCTCTCAGGAATGTCTCTAATCAGTCAGACTGACCCGTTCCCATTCTAAATTCTTGCAAATCCTGCTCTCAAATATCTCCCTAAGAAATCACCAAAATATTATTTTGAGAATTCCAGTCTTTACCAGCCAGCGCCGGGGTTAACCATATATAGGTATATTCGGGTTCGGAGCCCAGGATTCAGGAATCAAGGGTCAGGGTCTCAGTGGTTGCGAAGGAGGTAGTATAGGGGCCTACATGACTACTACCAATATGATCCTGTCGGCCTTATGCTATACACTGATAGTAAAAGATACCCCAAATCCCTACTCCATTTATTCAGGCTCTCCATCCTCTCGTTATTCCGTAAGAATTAGCGGCCTCTTTCGGATGCTGGGATTGTTTCTCCTGGATCCAGTTGCAACTTTCGGCATTCGGTGGCATGCAAATGGGCTCAGTCAGGCGGAATGAACACAAATATTGATTCAGGCAGAAAAGAATACATACGTAGATACATTTAGCAGCTTCTTTATGCGTACGCAGAAGGGTGGCTGAAGCCCAGGTAGCTTTGCTGGTGAAACCTCGATGATCTGTGCCGGAGGCTGCAGCTACAAAGTTCAGGGTTTGAAATATAGGGGCATCAGTATTTCGACGGGGTTCTGGGCTACACTATTGTGCCAATTCTTAATCATGGGCACATCTTTACGGCTTGGGTCTAGGGTTTGGGCCTGAGTCTTGGGGTTCACTTTAGTTGCCCTTCTTGTGCCCGTGGTAGGGGTTCAGGACTTGCGGGGCTCAGGCGTCGAATTAAGCCAGTGTGTTTCGAGAATACGTAGCTCTACCGTACTTGGAGGTTCATGGGTCGTTCTAAGTGGGGTTATAATAAGTAAGGTACCTACAGTTATGACCCATATTACCTAGACCCTCCTTCTACCCTCTATTAGACCCTAAATACCTACCATATACCCCTATTGAGGGTACAAGGAGGGTCCCGGTAAGTGACATATAGTTCCACTTCTAACTACCCATGAACCTCCAAGTAACGGACAAGAACTCAATGCGAAGGGTCCTCCCCCCTAAACCCTAAACCCTAAACCCTAAACCCCACTTTTAGGAGGGACCCAGAGGCCTCTCGCGTTCACCTCAATCCAGCTTCACGCGGTTGTCTTTGGCCCACTTCTTGATCCGTGTGATGATGTAGTCCACCTCAAACTCCATACAGTTTCGAGTTTTGGCTTAGGGAATACGTTTAGGAGTTTAGGGTCAGGCTCATGAAGGGCCGCCTGCTGTGCGAACAGGTGAATCTGATAGTCTTCGAGAAAACCGCGTAACCTCTTGTCGAACTGTACTCTTGAACTCTATCAACCCTAAAACCCAAGCTTTCAAGACCACTCAAAACTCTTCCTTGGGAGCAAAAGACTGAACATGACTGCAGCCACAGGCTCTGGAACGCACAAGCTTAGGGTTTAGGGGTTCAAGGGTTCAGGCCTTTTGGGCGTTAGTGGTTTGAATAGGATCTGAGGGTTGCGTGTTTAAGGGTTTATTGTTTAGAGCTATGGTTTGCAGCTAGAGAGGGTTTGGGTCTGGGTCTAGGTGTTCAGGAATTCAGGAATACGGGATAAGGTGTCGAGACAGCAAGAGTTTACTGCGAGATCGAGCAATCGGCACCATGTGTGCACCACCCACTGCCGACAACATGTCGCACGACTCGGTTTCCACAAACGCCCTGCTGGACCCGAAACCCAACACGAAGCACACACACGCACACACTTAGACAAGAAGCCCTACAGTTACATAATCCCGTAATCCTCTGTCGGAGGTGCGCACACAAACAAACAAACAGCACTGAAACGCCGTCGCTCCACGAATCCACACAGAGCATACAAAACCGTACACCAACAGAGTTTGAGCAATCCGTCTCCAAGTGGGTAGTTGTCAACTTTAGGGTCCCTTTTTGGGTACCCTAAATAATAGGTGCCGTATTATAATAGGGACCAAAAAGGGACCCTAATCTTGACAACCACCAAAGGCTCATGGCAGGGCCGTCCCGAAGGTCCCACGAACCCGAACCCGAGCCCTAAACCTTCCAGCACTCCTTTGTTTAAATTAGGGTTTAGGGTTTAGGGTTTAGGGTTTAGGGTTTAGAGTTTAGGGTTTAGGGTTTAGGGTCTCCCAAACTGCACACTCTCAGTCAACTCAAACCTTTTTTAAACAGCCCTACACCCTAAAGGGTACACCCTTAAGCTGGTAGTCCAATAGGAGCCTCCGGGGATCAGCGATCCTTAGCCTATGATGGACCTTGCAAGGAGAGCAAACCACTGCACAGCCCACGGTGTTTAGGGTTAGGGTTTAGGGTCTAGGGTTTAGGGTTTTACTGCAAGGAAACGACCCAAAAAGCACTCAACCCAAACATACCCTACAACTGCATAGACCCTACACCAAACACCCAGGGTCAGCCATCCCTAAACCCTGAACCCTAAACCCCAAATCCCTAAACCCTACAGTAGAAGCCAGAAAGTTGGAATATCATTATCGTATCCCCTTTAAGGTAAATTATAGGGGATCCTACCATTAATCCATGTTCCAACTTTCTGGAGTTCCCTTTAAGGAGTCCCATGCTCCGCCTGGGGGTTGCTGGAATTCCGCAGGAGGTGCACCACTTCCTCAAAGTGTACTTGGAGGTCGAGGGTTCAGGTCGTTGGTGTTGAGGGTTTTGGGGGTTGATGCCCTTGGGTTAAGGGTTTAGGGTTCGCTTTGAGGCTCTTTGGAGTACTGAAAGAAGGGTATGGGTACTTAAATTAGGTTTTTATGTGGTTTATCACCAGTATAATTACTTCATCTATCACCACAGTGACTACGTCACATGATCCTTTGAGTAGAGGGTACAGCACTAAAGCTCCTCAAGGCGGAGTGCTTTTGGGGCGGAAGGCTTGCAGAACAGTGGTCTAGGCGCTGGTTGAGGGCTCAAAGGGACAATCATGACGGTTTAGGGTTTAGGGTTTAAGGGTTAAGGGTTTAATTAGGGTTTAGGGATATATCACCGTGTCTTAATCATTACAATCAACCCGAGCTAGTAGACAACACGAAAGACTAGTAGCGAGCAGTTCACATGTACGGAGGCTTAGGAATTCGGACTCAGGGGGCATGAGCTGAGGGTGTGGGGTCAAAGTTGGGTTTGGGGTTTAGTGATCTTGCGTGCCAGGTTGAACCTCTCTGCCCACCTTTTTGGGAACATCGTAGTCTAAAGCACAAAACCCCTTCCGAGGCCTAAAACCCGAAACCCTCAACGCGGATCCCCTGTAAAAGACCGTCCTGGAGCTTGTCCGGGGACTCTTTCCCGGCAGCACAACGCTGAAGGATGCCCACGGCGGCACCTCTTTTGCCTTCCCAGAACCTGAGTTCAGTCTTTAAGCCCTAAACCCTCCAAGCCAAAGGCGTCTTTACAGCTGAGGGCTTTGAAGTGCCTCTGCTTTTTGTTGAGGCGGGGGGGGACGGGTTGCGCTAGGTTGGTACAGCGTTTGGGGGCTCAGTGCTCGGACGCTTTGCGTTTAGGGCTTAGGTGATTCAGGATTTGAGTTTGGGGTTTAGCTCCTGGGGAAGGGGAATATTCAGGGTTGCAGGGTCTTGTAGACTTTGGTTTAGCCATACAGTTCAACTACCCTGCAGGCTATAGGTACGCTACTTTAGACTAGTTGCTTGGAGGGTCTTGGTAAACAGTCAGTGGCAGAATCACCAAACAAACTTCGAAAGAAACGAGGCCTTAAGTGTCATCGGGTTTGGGGTATATTCTACTATAGTTGCAACGAGGAACCTGAGAAACACTGTTCTAATTATTGATGCCCGTATATTACATCTCCCAGCCCAAGTCGTTAATATGAGCAAACCACTACTTCTATCCCGCAAAATCGCCTTTCCAGCATCACATGTACATGGTAATCCATGCCAAACCCTGTAGATCATCATCAATCAAGTTGCAAGGCGAAACAAATCCTACTTCGAAACACAACATTGTATAGA